TTCTAATTTCTATTAATAATTAATAATAAATTAAACTTAATAAAAATACATTCAATAAAATAATTTGTAAAACTTAATGTAGATTGTAATGAATGTAAGTGTAAATTGGAATGTTTTCTTTTAAAATTAAAAATAAGGTATTTAATTAATAACTATTGTAACTATAGTGAAAAAATAGGGTGGTTTGCATTAATATTAGACATAACTGGTTGAAGACTGTACCACCTCAGTCAACCGTGACCATGGGACCTGTAAAGGGCCCGAAACGTCAGTTTGTTTGAAAAAACAAATATACGCGATTTAAATCCGGAAAAATAGTTTCATTTCCTAAGATTTCATAGTGATTAACATTATGAATGTGTTAGTTTCAGCGAAAACGATTCTGATAGTAATCGAAGCTTAATTAGGGCATTTACTCGACATCATGAGTTTCATCGCGCCCACCCCGCACAGCCGCCGCGCGATCCCCGAGCGGAGTCCGCATTGCCGCCGCGCAGCGACCGCGTGCATCTAACTGTCATATCAAAATACGCTATATTTATTTAGCTTTTATGTTTCGGTTATATTATTCATGGGGAATTTGAATATTGTTGCCCTGTGAATAGAATTCAGATTAGCCATTAATGTATGTCAAGGCGTGGTAACAGGGCGGTCGCCAGGCGGCGGCCGCGCGTAATCTTACTCCGCGTGTAACTGGGCTCTAAGGCAATTCCATGTTTTTTTTTCTTCCGTGTGTGAAATTCCGAATATAAACGTCTTTGGCACAAGTCAATAGAGTAGGTAATCATTCTTTTTACTAAACATATAATACGAAATCATGAGACTGTATACCGTGTGATAAAATTAAAAAATAATTGTAAGCTATTAATAAATAACATTATTTATGTTTATATTATTACTAGAAATGTTTCAAAAGAATATTAATAACGAAGCATATTTCCACCAAATATTAAGCCAGACCCCAAATAATGTGAACAAATATAGAAACTCACCTTGTATAGTACCCCAAGTTCCGTGTAATTTCTTAAATCCGAGAAGTAAGGTACCTCTCCATTTCGTCAGCATTGTATTAGAAGGGTGCTGCTCGAAGATGCTGGATATGACCTTAGCCTCTTCAGCGCTGTTTATAATGGCCAAATGTCCGCCTTCAGCCAAACAGATCTTGTAAGCATTTGACCAACTTTGTGGGTGGAGATGGAATTTGTAGCATTGGCCCGTTTTTTCGTAATATTTATATTCTGAAAATTAAAGAATAGTTGTAATTTTTAAGTTTATTGAATGTCACGATGTTTTATTGCCATCTTTATCTTTATATCTTTATTGCAAAACGCACAAAAATAGGTACAGAGATGTGCCTAGCTCCCAAACTAGGATTCCCTGTACTATGCGTTAGCTAGGTCTTACATCCGTCAAGTGTGTTGCCTAAAAATAACAACTTAGTCTATTACAATTACTAAGTATATTACAATAAGCTTATAAAATATTAAAGGTACAATACAGAGAGTGATGGTTTACATTTCATTTTGGTACATTCATAAATTTCTTACAAAACCCAGTATAGTTCTAGTTTTTATAAACAACAAAAAACAGCCAACTTCAGTACTATGATATGCTATACCACGATATACAATTTTTTTTGTGAAATTACTCCACGACACTAAAAAAGATATGTAACTATCTAAATGTAAATAAACAGTATTGTATGAGGCATGGTGGTTACTTGTTGTAAAATTCTATTGAACTTTTTGAAAACGGTTCTAAATACATGATAATCCTACGATAAACAAACTAAACCCCAGCCTCATCCCAGCCTTTAAAAAGATGACAGCTAATAACATGCGGTCAAATTAAAGAGTACAGCAGTAAATACGACGTATAAAACTCACTACTAAATATTGTATTTGACCAGTTAACCAAGTGTCAACTGAACTTTGTTTACTTTTAGTTAATTACTTAAACCTTTGTACTATACTTTGTTATAATTGTTGATAACAAATAGTTAAGAGTGCAGAAATAGATTTCTCACAGATGGAGTTACGGCGAAAAAGTCGTTAAAAACCAAAAAATAAATATCTGTAACAAGCACATAGAAAAATTCATAAGGTCCGCTGGTTCGTTCCGCAGCTCAGTTGGCAGAGCTTAGCACGAATTGCTATGAACGACCCTGGTTCGAATCCACCCGGATCGAAGGAATTTTTCATAGTATTCGATCTTTGTTTGCTACAACATTTTGATGTTACCAAACGGCGATAGAAATAGGTAAGGCAGTACTTTCCTGGAAGAACTCTATCAGAAGAAGCTCTATTACTACTATTTACTTAAGGTACCTAAAGCTTCCTGGAACAAAAGACTGTAGCTAAAAAACTACTAACCAGGATCAGGAGTTCCACATTGACACATGTCATGAATCTCCTTCTTTTCATTTCTGTAGCACATGAAAGGATATAGATGGTTGCAGTCTACCATGTCAATGGTACCCTTAGGAAGCAGAACAGTGCAGGGGTGCGTTACTTGTCGTGGACATGTCTGAGTATTCGTAAACTCCACTGGCATGTTCCACAGGGGAGTACCTGTAAAGCAATATTTTGTTGTTCTTTCTAGTATTTTTGTAAAGCGGAAATTTTAACCATGAAACTCTATCGAGTTCTTAGGTTTTCGCGATTGTTTTTATGTCATTTCCTACATGAAACTCTAATTATGTGCACTTCTAGTAAATAGTTTCAAGCGTATGCTATAGGCCACTTTTATTTTATTATTCGAAGAATTTGGATGAATTGTCATCACGAAACTAACCCACCAGGTAGCATCAACTGTTTGCCAGATCGCAATTAACATTAATACGTTCAAAAAATTATATTAATAGAAGAAATGATAGAAAAGAATGTTCTCAATTTTAATTCGTGATGCTCTAACGATGTGAAAAATTATTACCCTCGATAGAGGTATAATCTCCTTTGGAAAACCAAGCATTAATGCCGGTGTAGATGCCACAGCGGACGCCACTGGCCTGTCCGCTGATGTCAATCATAGCCTGCAGCATTAGTTCGCTCGAGGGAGACGCTAGGTCCGCACCTGGAGAAGAAAAATCATGATTTTTGTGTTGGAATTATTATTGTACCAGAACAATGTTATGTATTTCAAGTAAAAGGTTACGCGTCTCAAGACCTTTAAAAATCATACAAGCCCCTCGATCGTAAAAACCACTTATTTCACAGATTGTTACGCAAATAATAAGATTTAGCATTTTGTTAAGGCTCAATGTTATTTTAATAAAATTTTCGAGATCTTATGTTCTTTTTTATTCATCTTCTCTCATATCGATGGTACTGGTACACTGCAAGGATTTGTCAATTGGCGTAAGCAAAGGTACTAGCCGATTGTTACCAAGATTGCGCCCATGGAGCACAAATAATACGTCGTCATTGGGAGGAGGCTCATGGTTTTCTTTACGATATTTGCTTACCCATACTATTTGTACTAATTGATCTTTTGCTTCACCTATCTTCTTTTTTTAATACGATCAAAATAAATACCATAAACTGATTGATGTTCTTCTCATTTATTGCTTATTATTCTCGGAGAAAATGCGTATCAAATATATAGATCTATATTTGTTTTAAATTTTTTAACGTTACGCCATCGACTTGCCTACCTTCGAGCTGGCACCGTGCGCGGGCATCAAGCCAGTTGGTAGGTGCTCGGTGCAACTTCAGCCAACCATTAATCTCCGCTACGTATTTGTAGTCAGGACGAAACTTTGTAGGGTCCTCCTTACATATCCTTGCATCTGTAATAGTTTACACATTGTTTAACTCTCCTGTTATTTTAAAAAAAGTGGTTTGACCAATTTTCTTTGATCTTGAGATCAAACGTTGCACTGATCAATTTCAAACATTGTCAGCTATATGATAAAATATAACCAATGCGTCCTGCTTATACTTACTTACGGCGCCGAGACATGGCCGCTCACAAAGGAATACATCAAACACAAAATCAGAGTAGCTCCGTGGAGCGCGCCGTGCTCGTCGACCTTATACTACGTCGAGCCTATAATGGGGAAAGAAAATGGACAGGACACGTTGCTAGAGGGACGACGACCGATGGAGACGTCCTCGAGGCAGACCACCTGCTAGATGATCGGACGATTTGGTATTTGTCGTCGAAACTTCAATCGAGGTATGTAATTTCAAACTAAATGTCGGCTTCATACTATATGCTTCGTTTTGCCTTCAGGTAATAATATTTCATTACCTATTTTTCTATTATTGTGAATAATATTAAAATCGTCTAATTTTCAGAAAACTTAGATAGATAGATAACACGTTTATTCAACACAAATACAAACATAAATAAAACATTTACAATCACTTCACAGAGTATAACATAAAAGCACATAGAACATTCATTTTTAATTTTATACACATTGGAAATGAAACTATTTTTCCGGATTTAAATCGCGTATATTTGTTTTTTCAAACAAACCGACGTTTCGGGCCCTTTACAGGTCCCATGGTCACGGTTGACTGAGGTGGTACAGTCTTCAACCAGTTATGTCTAATATTAATGCAAACCACCCTATTTTTTCACTATAGTTACAATAGTTATTAATTAAATACCTTATTTTTAATTTTACAAAGAAAACATTCCAATTTACGCTACATTAAGTTTTACAAATTATTTTATTGAATGAATTTTTATTAAGTTTAATTTATTATTAATTATTAATAGAAATTAGAATAAACTAAAACATATTAATTAGTACTGCAGTCTTATGTCTGTTTGGGATTTTTCATTAGAGGAAATACTGGATCCCAAACTGGTGGTACGGAGAAACCATCTTCCCTGTTGAAATTAGGATGTTTTTTAATTTCAATGGCCTCTCGCAGCATCCTGGGTAGATAACGGACTTCTTTTGCAAGGACCTGGGGTTTGTCAAACTTCATTGAATGTGTAGGTTTATCCATGACATGCTCGCAGACTGCAGACTTGTTTACGCGACGGTGTTTGACATCAGCTATATGTTCTTTGACGCGGGTACAAATACTTCGCTTTGTTTGTCCAATATTAGACATAACTGGTTGAAGACTGTACCACCTCAGTCAACCGTGACCATGGGACCTGTAAAGGGCCCGAAACGTCGGTTTGTTTGAAAAAACAAATATACGCGATTTAAATCCGGAAAAATAGTTTCATTTCCTATGTGTAACAATCGCGAAAACCTAAGAACTCGATTTATACACATTTATATAAAACACATATTGCGAGAAAAACAAATACTGTGAGAAAAACAAACAAATACTATAAGAACTGATAAAATTTCAATGCACCTATGACTACAGTTTGTGCTGAAATGGCCCTGACTCAGCATAAATACTATAGACCGAGAGAAGTCAAACAGTGCTGGTTTTCTGCCAGTACCATATGGTGAGCGATCGCAGCCCAGTAAGCCATGCCACCAAAGTGCATCACACGCAAATATATATACCTAACTCTAAATACTATACATATATATATCAAGCAAAAGTGTAAGATGTAAAGCAAATATTGTAAATAATGTAAGTAATGAAGGTAAGCAATATAAATAATAATGTAAGTTTACAAACATAATATTAAATTATAACAATAGCCACCAAATATGAGTATATATAGGTACGGAAATTTAGGTTTACAGGTATCAAACTCATTGATTAGGGAAATATCTATGTAGCGAGATACATCTGCTCTGACAAAAGACGTTTTTTGTATTCACGCTTAAATTGTTTTTTATTATTGATGTCACGCAATGGAGGAGGAATATCATTCCAGCACTTACTGGCGCGATACCTGAAACCGCCGCGAAAAGCAGTCGTTCTGTGTTTTGGGACTTGACGTTGAAACAGCTAGGTTAGTTTACTTCAGCTACTTTCACAGTTTAATGACGGACGGCATTTTGCTTTGGGAGAAACCCTCTGATATTAATAGAATCTTAGTCCTGCAGAAACGGCAACAGCGTGTCTTTGTTAAGGCACTCTGCAGTCGTTGAGAGGATAAGTTTAAAGAAATTACCATTCTCACACTAGCGTCACAGTGCATTTAAGAAAATGTAATTAATATTAAGATGAATATTAACGTTCTTTGTGAAAGTACTGACAGATACAACATTGATGCGAAAAATAAAAATAAACTGGCTGTTCTTGACAGTATTTTGTCTTTAGGCCTTGTGAAGACTCACAAACTCCCAAATTTATTTAAGGCGAGTCATCGGAGGAGAAGCGGGATAACTGATTTCCTAGATCAATTGTTCAGGTATAACATTAGGTTTTTTAGGTATAATATTGCAAAAAAATATACCATACACCTGTGACGGTGTGACCTCCTTACACCGTCATCTCACCTCTTTGTATCGCCTCTCTCCGCTTGTATCTTATCATTTTTTTATTTTACTTGTATTTAAATTTTAAATTTGAATTGTTCCATCTTCCTTCACTTTCTCATTTTGCTCTCGTACCACGGTCACTCCCAGCTCGACCGCCGCAACAGTCAGAGCTGTTAATAAGCTAATCATGTGTAATAATTTATAAGTCTACACCCTGCATGTATCTATTTCTGTAATTCAGTTTCTCGGCCCATTTAGGGGTAAGTGCCTTAATAATAAAGTGTAGGGAGTGTTTTATACTGTTATACTTGTTTTTTTACATTTACCTTTATATTGTTACAGCCTTTCTTTAAACTTAACTTCTTTAATAAGTTTTGTGGACCGGAAGTTTCCCATTTCCTTGCCGTGAACCTGTTCACGGCTAGTTAGGGTTACAACCCTTGCACACCTAAGGATAAAGTCTAAATAATGTGTGTGTAATAAATAATGTGAATATGTTACCGATCACATAAAATCCTAAAAACGGGCTAAAATATGTACATAAAAGTCTAAAACGAATTATTTAAGAATAAAATATCTAATTTTGCACATAATACTTTTCTTTCTTTATAGATATTTCTCTTTAAGTACTACTAATGCTTTTAGTAGCAGTAGAGCTTCTCGTGAAAGAGTATATCCAGGGCAGTACTGCCACCGTACCTAGTTCAGCCGCCAAACAGTAATGTCCACATTACTGTTTTCCGTGTTATTTCTGTTCACCGCGGAGCTCAACGAATTTACAATGAAGAACGTATAGACCAATAATCAAATAATTCCTGACATAATTAGTGACGAGGGAGTTTCACTCAACGTCTTATTACGACACATCCTATACATACTCTGCGTACTTGGATGTCAAAAATCCGTGGTAGTGACCAGTTTAGTTCTTACAGGTATTCCCGATCTAAAATGTTTCAATTAATTATTGTAAATTATATATGTGTGGAAGTATTTTTATAAATAGCAACCCTTAGAGTATCTTGCTTATTATTCTCATGGTAATCTGCTTACGAATGAGCAGTAGAGTTTAACCGGTATGACGATTCGACGACGATCAAGTGTAACTTTTCTTACCTATGAAAAAAAAATTTTATTTGACTTAGTTTGTAAAATCTGCAGTGGCGTCAGACATGCACTAATATGGGGTTTAATAACGTTTGGGCGTAGAACCTATTTTACCGTTTCACGTGTTTTATATTAACTTTGTGTGATATTCTGCGATTGTGGTTTACAACCAATGAAATTATGTAAAAGACACTTAGTTTACCGCCCACAAAAGGGAGTGGAACTCCCTGCCTGCAGACTTATTATTATTATTATTATTATTATTCCCTGAACGTTAGAGCGAGACTGAATAGGCATTATTTAGGTGGGCAAGCCACACGGTCGATCTCATCGTCACTTTCCGTCAAGTGAAATCGAATAAAAGGAAAAAATAAAGAGCCCACACAATGCTCATTTCATTAAAAAATAAATAGATAACTCAACAATATTCTTGAGCAAACATGAATAAATTAAAATTATCCTGCACATACATCAGCTTTATATTACTATTTTGTTAATTTGGTACGAATTATCATTCGACTGGGTATAGGGATCTGTATATAAGGTTAAATGTAAAAATATTTATTTTACATTTAACTTCGTATATTAAAATTTTGAACCTTAAACATAAATCGATATATACGAGGATCAGAAGTTCAAGCAATAAACAAGATAGAAATTATGCACTGACACTACCAACACAATAGTTAGTTGTTAAGCAAGGCTGCAAAGTTGTTGCTTGACGCCAGTGCTTACAAGACAAGCGAAGGGAGCTAAGATTAGAGAACGACCAAATATATATTCCTGAGCGTAGCGAGGGTTTCGAGCCACGAGACGCAAAACAAAGGAAAATGGTAAATTAAAGAAAAACAGTTGAACTATAAAACATCACTTTTTTTCTTTTTTTATTAAAAGAAATTATTTTAGTACTTGGACGGATTAAAATAATTTAATAATAATAACGCACACACTCTACATAACTCCGCACTAAGGAAACCAGGGTTTCCTCCGACACAGGTGTCGCGGGTGCCATGGACACACACATAGACTACCACAAACTACACCCAAACTCACGAGAGAAATAAATGTAGGCCATATAAATATTTCTCCCAGCCCGGGAATCGAACCTGGGACCTCTGCGTAACCGTTCGGCCACGGAGGCAGTTTAATAAACATAATTAATTATCATTGTCAAATTAATATCATTATCTTTTGTTTTTTCATCGAAAGAAAAAGTTAGGTGCACCACAGTCCATCGTCAAGTTCGAATTTCAAAAACCTTGTCCACGCTAGCGTGCAAAAAACGCTTTTGCGCGCTAAAAAGCATTTTAATCAAAGATCATAATAAACTTAAGTAAACTTACCGGCAAGAACCACAAAAAGTAACAAGAACAGTAGCAACATGGTTGCAAGTGCGTTTAAAATGTTAAATATTCCACAGTTAGGACCTATTTATACCATAACTAACCGAACAATTGATAAAAATAAACCTATTCCTATAATAACTTGATAATAAGTACGT